CCCTTGATTCGGCTCTGGAGAGGCCACATCTGGAGTATTGTGTCCAGTTCTGGCCCCCCACTACAGAAAGGATGTGGACGCATTGGAGAGGGTCCAGTGGAGGGCAACCAAAATGATGAGGGGGCTGGAGCACATGACCTATGAGGAGAGACTGAGGGATTTGGGTTTGTTCAGTCTGCAGAAGAGAAGAGTGAGGGGGGATTTGAGAGCAGCCTTCAACTTCCTGAAGGGAGATTCCCAAGGGGATGGCGAGAGGCTGTTCTCAGTGGGGGCAGATGGCAGAACAAGGAGCAATGGTCTCAAGTTGCGGTGGGGGAGGTCTAGGTTGGATATTAGAAAAACTATTTCCCCAGGCGGGTGGGGAAGCGCTGGGCTGGGTTCCCTGGGGAGGGGGTGGAATCTCCATCCCTGGAGGTGTTTAAGTCTTGGCTTGACAAAGCCCTGGCTGGGTTGATTTAGTTGGGGTTGGTCCTGCCTTGGGCAGGGGGATGGACTTGATGACTCCTGAGGGCTCTTGCAGCTCTATGGTTCTATGACTGGTGTCCATAGCCTGTTTCTCTGGGAATGGGGGACAGGGGAGGGATCACTGGAGGTTTCTCTGCTCTGTTCACTCCCTCTGGGGCACCTGGCAGTGGCCACTGTGGGCAGACAGGACCCTGGGCTGGCTGGGCCTTTGGTCTGACCCCGTCTGGCTGTTCTGAGTTCTTCTCCCATTCTGCTCCACGCTGCTCTGTGGAGTCACATGGACGTAAGTAACGTGCCAAGGGGCTTCCTGTCCATATGCCTCTCTGTGCTGTGGAGCTTGCCCTTTGCAGAAGCCGCAGGAGGAGCCCTTGGTCCCTGTTCAAAGGTCTGGTCTCTCCTAGAGCCCTTTCCACACAGGGACAAGGGGAAGTTTCTCCTTTTCTGCTGCTTCTGTTGCGTTGGGACCGGTCACTGACTCCGAGCAGGCGGGACCCACAGGGAAGCTGGGCACAAGCAAACACTGCGTGCGTAAGTCCCATGGAAATCCATACACACAAGGAACGCGGCTTAGTAAGGACAGATGCAAAGTGCTCCACTTAGGGAGGAACAATCCGTGTCACACACAGAATGGGAAGCGACTGTCTGGGAAGGAGTCCTGCAGAAAGGGATCTAGGGGTCTGAGTGGACCACAAGCTAAACAGGAGTCAACAGTGTGACGCTGTTGCAAAAAAAAGCAAACATGTTTGTTGTGAGAAAGCCACGAGAAGTCATTCTTCCGCTCTGCTCTGCACTGATTGGGCCTCAGCTGGAGTATTGTGTCCAGTTCTGGGCGCCACATTTCAGGAAAGATGTGGAGAAATTGGAAAGGGTACAGAGAAGAGCAACAAGAATGATTCAAGGTCTAGAGAACATGAGCTATGAGGGAAGACTGAAAGAATTGGGCTTGTTTAGTTTGGAAAGGAGAAGACAGAGGGGATGTGACAGCGATTTTCAAGTATCTAAAAAGTGTCACAAGAAGGAGGGAGAAATCTTGTTCTCCTTGGCCTCTGAGGACAGGACAAGCAGCAAGGGGCTTAAACTGCAGCAAGGGAGATTTAGGTTGGACATTAGGGAAAACGTCCTGCCTGTCAGGGTGGTGAAACACTGGAATAAGTTGCCCAGGGGGGGCGCTGTGGAATCTCCATCTCTGGGAATATTTAAGAGCAGGTTGGACAAACATCTAATCAGGGATGGTCTAGACGGTGCTGGGTCCTGCCATGGGGGCGAGGGCTGGACTCGATGGCCTCTCGAGGCCCCTTCCAGTCCTAGTGTTCTGTGGTTCTAGACACTCACAGGCCGGGGGGCTCGACCAGGGGAGCAGCGACTCTGGGAAGGACTTGGGGCCCGTGGACATGGGCTCGCAGTGCGATGCAGAAACGGGGATCTGCAGTAGGAGCAGGAAGTTATTTGACCCCTTACCTAGCACAGGTACAAGCACAGCTGAGACACCGCATCCAGGCCTGGCGTCTACACCTCAAACCGGAGGGGGATAAACCGGAGGGGGTCGAAGAAGACCAAGGAGAAGGCTGGGAACCCTGCCTCAGACCGACACTCCAGGAGCTCAGTCTACTCAGCTTCAAGAGAAGGTCGAGGTGACCTCATTGCACCCCCTACGACAGCGGTTCCCCACCTTCTGGAGCATCTGGACCCCATTTCAATCTGTTAACCTTTCCGGGAGCCGCCCAGCAATACAGCTGTTTCCACAGGCTGGGAAGCACTGCCCTAGACAGCTATGCAGGGGCCAGGAATGGGCTCTGCATGTGGGCTCTAACAGGACGCAGCGGCTGCGGAAGCTCGGCGCATTTCGAAATAGGCTGCCCACTTTGGAAAGCGAGAGTAACGACTCTCGGGAAACAGCTCCCACTGCGGGCAGCCCAGCTGGGCGGGGCTCTCAAGGGGCGGCTCTAGCTGGAACAGGAATTCCTTCGGGGACACCCAGGGCCCGGGCTGTGCAGGGGTCAGGCTGGGTGAGTGGAGAGGCCTTTCAGACCTCGTATCTAAGAACCGGTGGATTTCTCCTCCGTGCTGCCTCATGAGAGCACGCGTGTCCCTCGCACGTTCTGCCGCCGCCGTGGGGATCTGATTCCCGCACATCTCTCCTCCGGGGGCTTCCCAGGTTACCCCGGATCAGTCTGCCTTGTGGGGAGGCTCTGACACGGCTTCTTCTAGGGAGACCGCACGAGGGGCAGCCAGGCTCGTCTCCTTCCAATCGTAGAAAATATTTTCCAGATTTCTTTCCCTCTCCGGCTCCACCCACCCGCCTGAGACGCTGTCACGGAGCTGAAATCCTCCTTGGGAACACGCCTGCCCTACGACTCATTGCTGCGCGTTCCGATCGCTCACGCGCTGGCCCCGCTGTGGACAATGGCTCAGAGGAGACGTCTTACGTCTCTGACTCGCTTCTGGGGCTGTCTCGTGTGACTGGGCTCGGGGCGGCTGCGGTGAGATTTGGGACTCCTGGGCCCTGCCCTGCTTTTTAGACAAGTAAACCCCAAGCTCAGATCGGCTCTTCCTCGGGAGATAAACCAGCCTCTTGCACAGCAGCTTCGCCTCAGCCTGGGAGGGGACAGGTAGGCAGCAGGCTTAAAACAAACCGAAGGAAGTTTTTCTTCACTCCGTGCACAGTCAACCTGTGGAACTCCTTGCCAGAGGATATTGGGAAGACCAGGACTTTAACAGGGTTCAAAAAAGAGCTAGATAGATTAATGGGGGTTAGGTCCATCAATGGGTGTTAGCCAGGATGGGTAGGAATGGTGTCCCCAGCCTCTGTTTGTCTGGAGGTGGGTGACAGGGGAGGGATCACGTGAGGATTATCTGTTGTGCTCACTCCCTCTGGGGCACCTGGCATTGGCCACTGTCGGCCGACAGGACACGGGGCTGGACGGACCTTTGGTCTGACCCCGTGTGGCCGTTCCGATGTTCTCAGGGGCCCGGCGGCGACCCTCCAACGGCTGTTTGGTGGCCTGTGACTTGCCGAGAGCCGCTGCAATGGCAGCTCCACAGATGCCTCCTTGTGGGCAATCTCTGCAGAAGGGCCCACGGCAGGATGAGGGCTCTGCTCAGCCCAGGGACTGGGCGTGGAGGGCAAGGCCAGGCCGGGGGGCCAGCCTGTCCCAGCTCAGTGGCCACCAGGGCGTGGTCTGCAGGTGGTCAGCTGGGCGTTGCTCAGCAGCACGGCACTCTCGGAAGGAGACGGGTGCGACGGATGGAAGGCCCACCGTGACCCCATGCACAGTCCAGTGCCTGGCATGGAATGGGAGCCCCACGCAGCCAGGAGTGGGCCAGGGGGCAGGCACAGGACTGGGGATCAGGGTCTGTGCCCAGCTCTGCCTGACTCACTGTGGGACCGTGGCCAAGTCACTTTTCCGCTCCGTGCCTCAGTTTCCCCATCACTGAGGCGTGCGAAGCTGAGTCCACTGGAAAGTGCTTGGGAAGGGAACGATCGATTTCACATGCCTGCAATGGGCTGTACAAGCCGGGAAGGGCGGGTAAGACGCAGGAGGCTCTGCCCGGCTGTGCCCTGCGGGAGGCCTTGAAAGCTCAGTCTGTGCCAGGGAGCAGCAGGGGCCCAGCACTGCCCTGAAGCTGACAGCACAGAGCGGCACGCCGCTGCAGAGACAACAGAGCATCTGCCCATGGGGGGGGGCCCACCACAGCCCCTGCCCTGGCACTGCCTCCAGGATCCACGACCTCTCCGCCTGGAGGCCTCCAAGCCAGCCGTGGCAGCATCTTGTGCCAGCTCCGGGGCAGGTAGCGAGCAGAGGGGGCTCTAAAAGGTGAGCAGGAAGACTGAAGTGTACCTGCCCAGAGCAGAGGGGGCAGGGCTGTGGGTGCCCGGCAGGCTGGCACTGGGAGCCTGGCTCTAGGTGCCTGCCCAGAGCAGAGGGGGCAGGGCTATGGGTGCCCGGCAGGCTGGCACTGGGAGCCTGGCTCTAGCTACCTGCCCAGAGCAGGGGGGGCAGGGCTGTGGAGACCCTGCAGGCTGTGGGTGCCCGGCAGGCTGAGGGTGCCCGGCAGGCTGGCACTGTGAGCAGTTTGGAGCAGAAGCCCCTGGGGGGCATGGCCTGGCTATTACCATGTGTCTGGCAGTGCCGGGCACCAAGGGCCCTGTCCCCGGGGGCACCGGCTGCCCCACTCCCAGCCCTGTGCAGTCGTGGACAGCGGAACTGCCTGGCAACCCAGCTCCGAACAGTGCCCCGATCTTGGATAATGGGCCCAGCCCAAGTCACTCGCCCCAGACCTGCCTGCAGACACTTCCACGAGAGCCCCTCCACGCCGGCTCTCCGGCAAGAGCCCAGCCCCCTCGCAGTAACGGCCATGACACGGCCACGCTCTGCCCTCCCTGCCCCTCCCGTCTCTAGGACATGCCGCGCCTTTACCCCCCGCCCACGGGGCTACACCCCCTCCGCCCTGGGCAGGCTGTAAGGACAGTCGGACATTTGCGCATCCCAGCCGGAAGCCAACGAGAAAGAAACAGGCGCAGGGCCAGACGGTACCTTCTTTGCTCCCGTCAAGGCTGCTTTCTGGAGCTTGTTGTAACAGTACTTGGCGTAAGTGCTTATTGCCACCCCTACGAGAGAAAACAGAGAGCAGAGTCAAGCCGGGCGTCCCCGCACGCGGAAAAGCAGGAGCCCCGGGAGCTCGGCGTGGGTCCGGGAGGGAGAGCGCTGGGTCCCACGTCAGCTCTGGCGGCTTCGCCCCCCGGGCAGCGCGCAGGGCTGAGGCAGGGCCCCGAGAGGCTTGGGCCCTCTCCTGTTCTGCACGGGGGGGAGGTTCATCCCTATTTGCCCCCAGCGCTGGCCCAGGCTGCACCCGCAGTGAGCGCTGCCTGGCACATGCCAGGCCCCGAAAGCTGCTTGCTGGGATGATCCCGGGCTGCGGGACGCCTCTGACTCCGAAGGCCGGGGCTGAGTCTCACGAGCGAGGCTGGAAATGCCGCCCACCCTACGGCCCGCCCCCCCGAGGGGAGAGTCTCAGTGGCCCCGGGATCAGAGGCCCTGCCTCCGCTTCCCAGAACCCTGCGCCCCAGCCCAGCGCCTGCTGGCTCCCTGGGGCTGGGCGCACGGCGGGGT